TTTAAATCTTATTAAAGAATTATTATTATTATCAAGCGTGGACAAATAAGTGATAAACGTACTTAAAATTGGATTCAGAAATTTTTATTGACAAAATTAAATATTTCTTTATAAACTCGATTAGAACAAAAAATATTTTTGTTTTAATTCCAATTCTTAATTCATTGTTGATTCGATGTAATTGAAAGCTTTAAAGGAAGAAGTCGAAGAGGAAACACATTTATCGACGTACAGTAACCATGCTTCTCTATAAAGATTGAGATTTAATTTGTTTCAACATTGCATGCTCCACTAAATGAAAAAAATTAACTATAAAAGATAATTTGTAAAATCTTTATTAATGCAATTTTTATAACGATGAAACACACACGTACAAATGTTGCTATTTAATATATTGCAAATTAAATAAGATTACTGTATTTTTTAAACAATATTATTAAACAAAAATTTTTATTTTTTTCGTGCATTTTAATTTCATCACAATTTCAATGTAAAGTAACTTAGGAAGTGCGTTTTGCAGTCTGCATAATAATTTATTTAAATGATAACAATTATGTCTTAAGTAATACATACAATATACATTTTCTCACAATAATGAGAAAAGATACTTTTTATAAGTGCATTGTATAAAATTAATATTTATAATGGTTTTGCTTTATAGATATAATATTTATTTAAAAAATCGAATGTTTATATATTTAATTTAACACAGATGTCTTTCCCTTAAGATTTTTTAAATTTATCTTTTTATTTTTTTACATTGTTAATAAAATAATAATAGTGTAATAATAAATTGTGAAAATTCTAAATTCTTTGTAATCACAAAAATAATGTGATAACAATATTATTATACTATTTTTAAGAAAATTACAGTATTAGAATATCGCAATGGAAAACTAGGAGTTAAACATACTTTTCAGGGACATATATTTTTCAGTAAAGCTGAATAGATTTAAAACGTAATCACGAACAATGAATTGCAAAAATGATTAAAAATAGCAACAAGATAAGAGGCACATTCAATATTAGCATATCTGCATTAAATTATCTTTTTTGTCAATTTACTATAGATGATGAATTACATAACGATTTATGTAACTAACGATTACATATCGTTAGAAGACCGCTCAGGTCTCATCACGTTCGATTTACGTTTATTACACAATTCATTTATAGCTGACAACTCATATATGTATATTATATACAAGTATATTGATGTTAAAATTAATTGAATCTAATTGTTGTCATGGGAAAAGCAAAAGAATTGCGGAATCTTTTGAGAGTACAAAAAAAACTTTTTATTTAGTACACATACAGCAGCGGAATGAAAACGGTAAGAAGCGGCGATACAGAAAGAGGGAGCCCTATAGAAGGCCAACATAAAACGAAAAGAAACTATACTAAAAGTGTAAACTGCCAACTTAATATTCAAATTGCTTATACCAACACTAATAAAAAAAATTTTTAAATACACATTATAATAAGTCTTGTTTCAATTATTCTTTAAATGGGTCACAAAAGATAGATTCTTTATAAAAAATAGTTTACGTTCGATCGGGAAAGAGCTCCTCATAAGTAAAGAGTTTAACTATGTCGTTGGAAATCAAGATAACTCGTTTGGAGATCGTCTCTTCTAAAACCGGCTTAAGAATTTTAAAAATCTCTTCTTGATTGTTGCCTACAAAACTGTTAACAATTTCGTGTAATTGTCCTAATTCCGATCCATTCAAATCAAACGTGGTGTTGTAATTTTTGAGATCGAGATTGACCTTCATCTTTGATATATATGTATATTTTCTGCCGTCTCGAGTTGCCAGATTCATGTCCAGGTCTACTTTTGCCTGTATGTTATCTGCAAATCACAATTTAGTAATTTCCGTAAAAATGTAACAGGTTTTTAATTTTTTATATTAAAGTATATTTTCGTCGTATTTTTAATATCACATCGGTTATTTGCATACCCAAAGTAATATAAACCAGTCCCTTGTAGGCGATAGGCACCAGTAAACGTATGTTGAAATCATAAGTGGTGTTCACTTGGATCCGATTGAATAATAATTCAATATCGTAGTGGAGTTTGTCGAGATCTGTGTGAAGGTATTTTACGACAAAGTCACACATTCCCGTTATTTTTGCATCTCTAATGTATATTTTCGCGTTAGGCGTATCGGAAATGGCTAATTTGTCAAGAAAATATGGATTGGCTGACGGAACGCCCAATTCAGGAATTCCATCGCAGAGCTTTCCTTTCAAATTGTCAATGTTATTCGCGATGCATTCATCGAGATTCGGGTCTCTGCGGCCACACACATGAATGTAGGAGGCTGTAAAGAGTACACGCTATTTTTCTTAATCACAAACTTTTCAGCTAAATTACTAGTAAGTATGAATAAGAAAGATTAAAGGAAGATTAAGATTGTAATTTATTTATAAAATATTAATATTAAACAGCACATATTAATATCCATGTAGCATTAATAAAGCATTAAACCTTTTAAAAAATTTAATATATGGATGTATGAGTGATAAGGTTTTAAATGTAAACCAAGTCTTTTTTTTTGCTCTAAAATTGCTAAAGTGAATAAATATTCTATTCTTCTTTAAAAAATTTAATATACTGCAAAGCTTTTTTTAACAATGTAAAAGAGAGAGAAAGAAAAAAAGGAAAAAGAAAGAAAAATGAACGGAGCATGAAGAAAGAGAAAAACGTGGAATAATGATTCATTACAGCTGTCAAAATTAATAATAAAATAATTAATAATGAAAAATTTCTAAATATCGTTGAAGAAACTTTTAATCAACATTGTATAGTTTAGATATTAAAAAATACTCCGTGTTCTTTTCAACTTGCCAACTCTGGCAAACCTGTTACAAGTGACTGCACTCGCAGCCTATATAAGACTACAAGATAAATTGTCGTGTTGCGGAAATTCATTATAAAATGTTCTCACACATGTACATTCGTACATGCCATTCCATAAAATACGTAGATAAACGCTCGTCAAGGAATTTCTATAGAAGTCAATACCATGTCGCTACTGTTGCTTTGATTAATTACCCAAGGACTATAATGGCAATGGCTTCTTTTTGTTCACGATTTTTCGCACGCCTTGTCCTTCGCATTATTACTACCTAACGCACATCCACGATGCGCACGCAGTTTGCTTTGCTAATAGGTATGTCATACATTAAAATTATTGAAATCCTTCGTTTTACATTAAGATAAATCACCTAATTTTAAAAAAGTTATTAATTCAAATTTCTTCTAGCGGAGCGAGTGTAGTTTAAAAACCATAACAATTTAACTTTCTTTTCGCGAATAGCTAGGATAAATTGTGCATACGCGATGATAAAAATAAATACGTTTTTTTTTATTTACTCACGTATTTCTGCCGCAACATGTCCCGCTATAAGTGCAAAAGTAAAAATAGCAGCGAACATATTTTGAGCCCAGATGATTCTTTTTGTGAAGTAATACTTTATAGAATTGCAATGTTACACAACGATCGACGAACGTACATCAAGACCGATCCATGCAATTGATCAAGCTTTTATGTATGCGCACCTCCTCTTCAAATTGGTAAATAATCAGTCTTTCTCTTTATCTTTTTCTTTCTCTCTTTATAACAATGATTCATGCAAAAGATCATGGTCATATTCATGTCAATTGCACATACAATAATATCTTTTATTACGGGAAATAAACACACTTTTATTAATTAAAAACATAACTGACACTTAAAAATACATTCAACCAATTTCACGAAATTTTATAAAATAATGCACAGTTTAAGAAGTAATATAGCAATAGTAAAAAATAAAATCGCAAAAATAAATTTAACGAAAAATTGAATCTATTTTTACACAAAAAATTGTGTATATTTTTCTGTGAGTTTGTAAACCATTACAAATTTCCTTCAATTGTATGCCATTTATATTATAATAAATAAAATTAATATAAAGCGCGGAAAATTATGTATAATGTAATTGTAAAAATTAATTTTTAAGACTTTTTACAGCAAGAAAAGAGAAACAATTTTAGACAATTTTATCATTTATAATAATATTTTAATAAAAATATGTGTACAAAACAAACTCTGTGATTTGTTTTCTACATTCTGTAAAACAATTTCCACAAAATCTGCGGAATATGTAAAATTAAAACTGTTTTACAATTTCCTTATGCAAATGTAAAAAGTGTGGTTTATGACGTGCTAGATCTCCTTGATGTTGCAACTATATATGTTTTTAAAACGTTCAAAGTTTATAAATCTGCGACATTAGCAAAAAATAATGCTTCTTTTTGCTCTTAGTAATCAATTATAGTTTGCATACCGCGACGTAGCTCCAATCTGACTTTACTATATAAATGCTTAATGCAAAGAATCTTAATAAATTTATTATTTTAACTCGAAATGTAGAAATTTTGCATCTGTACATTTTATTGAAGTTTCATTTATTTTGTGTTGATGCATTTTCTTTTGATATATAAAAAAAGTTCTTTGAAAATATGTTTGATGTATTTTATCATTTTATAACGAATCGCTGCATAATAAAAATATATTAGATCTAAAATAAAACAATATCAAAATTGTACATATTTTTTCGTACATTCAAATTTAAAATAATATTAAGACAGAAAAATGTCATTATTTAATTAAAATTTTGTTACGTATAAATAATCATTATTTTGTACAAAATCTGTATTGGCACACTAGCAATCAGTAACAATATATTTAAGATATATTTATAAAATAATATACATTTTTGTTATTTAGTAAAAGAATAAATTGTTTTTAAAGTATTACAACAAATCTTGTTCCAATTATTCTTTAAATAGATCGCAATTGATGGATGAAATAATCATATATGTGTCACAATAGATCAAAATTTATGTTCGATCTGGAAAGAGCTCCTCATAAGTAAAGTGTTTGACTATGTTATTGGAAATTGAAATGATCTCATTGGAGATCGCTTTTTCTAGAACCGGTCTAAAAGTTCTAAGAATCTCCTCTTGATTATTGCCTACAAAATTAGTAACAATTTCACGCAGTTGATTTAATTCCCTTTGGTTTTGATCAAGCTTAATATAATATCCTTTGATGTCCAGCTTTATCGTCAACTTCGATATATACATATATCTTTGGCCGTTTTTGGTAACCACTTTTATGTCTGCGCCTACTTTTGCTCCTACATTATCTATAAGATATTAGAGTCAAGTAATTTTAATGAAAAAATTATCAAAAATATATTTTTGACTATTGGCGATTGACTAGAGTCCTTCTAGTCAGAGTCAAGACATAAGATCGTAGTGTGGGGCCTTCACGTATTCACTTATTCATTAACACTTATTCATTATCAATTGGTCAGGATATGGCGCCGATCAATCGCGAGAGAGCTTGCTTATGTCTCGACTCTGACTAGAGGAACTCTACAACATTAGAGTTACTATAATCAGAGTTAGGACAAATAAGAGGCTCCTCCTGATTGGCCAAGGGATCTGCCGCCATGTTTCAGATTATCGATGTGGTAGTGAATGTATGTAAATAGGTGAAGCGCCTTTTGAATGTACGGACGACTTGTCACATTTTGAAACCTGCGCGCGCAAATATTGACTGTTTCCGATTGACCTGAAACATGGCGTCCTTCGGGGTCATATACTCATATGTCTTAACTCTGATTATAGTAACTCTATACAACATATATTCATCATGACATCTGATGGCAGAAAAATAAACTATAGTATATTCTGCAATTGTTATTAACATTTTCATAAGTATTTATAGTCGGTTCTTATTTTAAGATCACCTTAAGTATAAATGTCCTAAGACCATTATTACGGCTTAATGTCGGATCACAATAAGGATTTTAAGCCACCGTAAGACATTGACCAATTACAATCGAAACATCCATGGATCAACAAGTATTGAATTAAACAATTTTTGACACTACCAAATTGTTTTGCGCTTTACTTACCGCGCAATTACAATCGATTATTCTTCTCATATTCGACTACGCGATTGGTCTATTTCTTACTACTTAGAGCTTAAAATCCTCTAAAATTGTGGCATCTTAAGACTGTAGTTTAGACGATCTTAAATATAAGAATCGGCTATAAATACCAGCCTTTTAGATTTTTTTAATGAATCACATGTATTTTGGCATTTATCTAGAAGGTCACAACCATATTGGATAGATCTCGCCCCTATATCAGTTACCAATATTTCATAGATGTTTTAAAAATATTTATCTTACTTATCTTAATATCTTATTATCAAATGGATTAATTATTTTATATACCTGTACTAATATAAACCTGCCCTTTATTAGCGATGGGCACCAACAGTTGTAGGTTGAGATCATAAGTGCTGTTTATTTGGATTTGTTTGAATAATAAATCAACATCAAAATGTAATTTGTCGATGTCCATATGAAGAGAATTTATGGTGAAATCGCATAGTCCTGTCACTTTTGAATCCTTGATATATAATTTGGTATTGGGTGTATCAAAAATTACTAGTTGATCAAGAAGAAGTGGATTAGTCGATCGAATATCTAGTTCTGGAATTCCTTCGCAGATTTTGTCCTTCAAATTTTCGATGTTGTTCAAGATGCACTGATCGAGATTCGGATCTTTGCGTCCGCAAATATTAATATAGGAAGCTGTAAGGAACATAAAATCATTTTCGTTAACTTCTAATAAAAATTGTGAATTTGAAAATAAAATAAATAAAGCAACAGAATAAATAAAGCGTTAAAATATATTTCAAAGAAACGTGCAATTTTTACGTTGCAATTTTTGATGCGATAGTTTTTAATTTATATACAACACTTAAACAGAATATTAAAATAAAATCTTAAAAGATTTAATATAATCGAAATTTTTTTTGATAGCGACAAATAGAGAGAAAGAGAGAGTGAGAGAGAGAGAGAGAGAGAATAAGAACAAACATTAAAATATAATAATTATTATCGCAATACTTCCAAATTAAAAAAACAAATTAATTGTTCAAAAATCTTGTTTTACATCAAGATCAATTACAAAACTTAAAAATTAATATTTTATTGAAACGCATTTTGCAATTATTGCACCAAATTTTTTGTAGTATAAATAGTACAAAGTGGCGTCCGCAATGAGACTTAAGGCTTAAAATTTAAGAAAATTGATCAATAACTATCAATTATTCTTCTCACGCGAGATGAATAACCGACTATGATTGATCAATTTTTTAAAATCTTAAGTCTTAAGTCTCATTGTAGACGTCGCTCAATTAAAAGCTTTTTTACATATAATATCAAAATAATATGCGTTGTAACAGAAACAAATATGCATTTCTTATTTTTACTTACGTACTTCTGCTGTCACATGTGTTGTTATAAGGACAAAAGCAAAAGCGGCGGCAAGCATTTTTCAGATTAACGGAGCGTTTCTTCCAAAACTTTTTAAGATTATAATATTATTGAAAGTAGTATTATACTTAGAAAACAGTAATGTAATGCTAACAGCTGGACGATATGTATCAAGACTGAGATAACCGTCGTACTTATATGTATCCTGTTTTGCGATTTAATTTATCCTCTCTCTGTCTCTTTCTAATGATTCATTCTACCTTGAAGACGGTAATTATGTAATTATATATGTATGCATCTATAGAGTATGTACCTTCTTTCATAGGAATTAAAAAATAAAATTTTTATTGAATAAAAATACGTTTAACACATATTGCATAAATAAATTATTGAAATAAAAATATATAAGAATTTATGGCATTAACAAATGTTAATTTGCATGTAACTGTACTTTTGTAGAAAAAATACACAATTCAACAAACACTAAAATATTAATGCTAAATATAAAATTGTAAGAATAAAAGATAAAAACTGCATTAGAAAATGTTGTTTTATACAGTCATAGCATATTAGCATAGTTAATTTGATTTCTTCTAACGTCACGTGTAAATGTAATTAACATGTAGAACGTGTGAATCAATTTTGTTGTAAAAAATTATTAGTTTTTTAACATCATAATTATGGATGACGGAAACATAGAATGAAAAAAAGAAGATAAAAATAAAAATAAAAATTTAAAAATTTAGTTTATTTTTATATAATTAATATAGTTTTCTCGAACTTTCCATTCCCGAATGTATGCAAAATATTCTTATCTTTTTTTTTTAATTATCTTTATCAAAGAAAAAGCTTACGTATTAATTAACTTTTTAAATATTTAGAAAATAATTTCAAAATTTCAAGAATATACATTTTAGCAAATGTTACATGTAATAGATATAGACAATAAGATATGCAGCTTGTGACGTGTGCAACATTGTTTAGATAGTATCAATTAACCGCAACCGCACAACTTATATGTGTTTTCGTAATCTACGAAATAATTAACTTCCTACTTATTTCTCATAACTAATTATTTATGCTTTGAACAAAACGTCTGTGTTATATAAATGCTAAATCTATGCAATGAATCACAATAAATCTGTTATTTTAGTGTAAAAAATGGGGAAATTTTTACATACAGAATGAAAAAAGGTATTTCCGCTCTATATTCTTATAATATTATGTCATCAAAATTCTTTCTTCCATATATTTTTTTCTTAAATAAACAATTCTTTTAAGACCTCTTTAATGTTTCTTTTTTAAAAATACTCTTACAAGTCTATTTATAATTAGATATACATATTAAATAGAGTATCAAAGTTCGCAGTTTTATCCGAGTACGAGACAATTATATTACAATTACTTGAGTCATAATAATTTCTAAATAATACATATTTCTACTTATGATATTCAAACATTTAACATAAGAACATTTATATAAAAATAGAATTTATAATAATCATATCTCGAAAATCTTAATAAAGGCTTAAGGTATACAATAATTTAAAAAATTTTACGTTAACATAAAATTAAGACTACTATAGTTAATAATCTTAATTCCAATATTTTTTCCAATAATATTTTTTTACACATAATGATATTTGACTTACAATCAAAATCTTCTAACTTTGTAAATGTTTCGATCACGTTTTGGAGTTTCTTTAGCGAAATATTCGTAATAAAGAGTAAAGTCTTCTATAAGCGGATCAAGCGGATCGTCATTATTCTGTTATGTTTTATTAATATCACGACTTACACTGTGTCTATATGTGTCAAAAAGAATTAAATTATCTAAATAGTGAAAATCAATGTCGGTGAAACTACGGTTGATTAAAAAATGACTGATAAACAATTTTATAATTTTATATGAATTTTAAGCATTCTACGCGATTAAAAAGTTCAATGTCGAGAACGTAGATAAGGATCATTCTGTTAAATTCCACGCATTGCGAATTCCTGCTATTACTTGACTGTTTTTACGTCAATATCGCCTCGAATGAAAATCTCTGTTACGAAGAAACATTGTTTAGTGGAATATTTATAGCTACGAGGCATAAAAGGTTGCATAAGTTCTCTAATAATAACGGTTTTAACTAGTGTCGGATATGGCATCCTATGATGAACGGATTAAATGCAAACGTTTGGAAAATTAAGTGTAATTTACATGATTCTTTCTAATGATTGACATGAGTTAATTAGTTGATAGCTATAAATGAAAAAGATACAATTGTTATTAATTATGTTCCTTGGATCATAATGTAGAAAATTAATATATTTCTTGCCGTCTAAGATAAGAAAAACATTTCAATTACTTTAAAATATTCTAATTTTTAGCTAATTATTCAATTTTTATAATTCTTTCACATTTTTTTAACAAACATACAACGTTAATTATTAGAAAAAATAGCATTAGTTATAAAATTACATGTTAAAAGATTATAATCAATTCTGATAAGTCGAATGCAAATAAAATAACAATAAGGTATTATTGAAACAATGATTTGATTCGAATCTTATATCAAATAATTGTCAAATAAAAGATGAAAAGATAATTATTCATACTTTTCTAATTATTCTCTATTTTAAGTTTTTTATGAATTTTAGAATGTTTTATAGTAGCGTATCTTTGAGAATATGTTTATGTAATTATATCTAGTTCTCTCTACATCGTCAATATATAAGTAATAAAGTTTAGGATAATATTTTCACAAAGTCACGTTCAAAATAAGATAGTAGCAAACATCTTTTTTTCTCATTTTTCAAATGTTTCTCTATAAAAATAAATATTAGTACTTTGTATAAATCTATGATAGCAATAATTACAATAGTCGTTAGACGTCTATTGTCGTTATACGTCAGTTTCCGTTATCGATAGACAATTATATTCTTTGTATTGTTAATTTTAAAGCATTGTTACAAACTTTAGTCTTTAAAAAGATTGCGTAATACTCGACATAATCTTATAAGAATGAATGTTAAAATTTCAAACCATTTACATTTATTCTGGGAAAAGCTCGTCATAAGTGAAGTGTTTAACTATATCATTGGCAATCGAGATAATTCGTTTGGAGACCACCTCTTCCAGTGTCGGCTTAAGATTTTTTATAATCTCTTGTTGATTCTGGCCTACAAAGTTATGAATAATTTTATTCAATTGAGCAGATTGCTCGTCGTTCACGTCGTACAGAACGTCATAGTTTTTTATATCCATATTGATCTTGATCTTTGACAAGTACGTGTATTTCTTGCCATTTTTGGTTACTATTTTAAAGTCCATGTTTACTTTTGCTCCTACGTTATCTGTAAGCACAGAATTTGTTAATGAAATTATATCTGATGTTTCTTTTCTGTTGAAATAAATTTTTAGACATTTGTATTTCATTTTAATTAAAAAGTCGATTATTTCTTACCTGCAGAAAAGTAAAGGAATCCTTCACGTGCAATGGGTACCAGTAAACGTATGTCGAAATCATAAGTGGTGTTTCCTTGAATCTGGTCGAATGTAAGCTCAATATAGTAGTGTAAATTATCAATATCTGCACGAAAATATTTTATTTCGAACTCGCAGAAACCTGTTATTTGCGCATTTTTTATGTATAATTTGATGTCGGATGCCTCGACAAGAACAATTTTCTCCACAACAAATGGATCATTCGACGGAATATCCAATTCCGGTATTCCTTTGCAGATTTTACTCTTCAAATTGTTAATATTATTCACAATACATTGTTCAATTTTTGGATCATTGCGACTGCAAACGTGAATGAAGGAAGCTGTAATAGATTTTATTTGTTTTTTTATAACAAAATACTTTTAATAAAGTTGTCAGTAGAATTAATGCAACAACGTTAACGTTATTTTAAAATAACAAACACTAGACTAACCATACGCGCATTACACAAATGTCATTTATTCCATAAAAAAATAATTTTTTAATATTAAGAAAAATTAAATTTTGTTAAGCATATGTACTGTATATAAATGCATAAAGAAAAAAATATTTAGTTTTAATTGATTATTTTATTAAAACTAAATATTTTTTTCTTTACGCTTTATATACGTATACAGTACGTATACTTAATAAAATTTAATTTTAATAAAATATAATTTTTTTTAATATTAAAAAATTATTCTTTTTTATTACACTTTTTTTCAAAACATACGTTATAGAATTAATAAAATTAAATTTTATTAATTGTATAACAAATGTTTCAATAAAATAATCGATTAAAACTAAATATTTTTTTCTTTATGTATTAATATGTAGTACGTATACTTACATATAAAATATACAATATACATACATATATAGCACAGAATAAACTTTTGTTTTAATAAATTTGTGAAAAATAAACTCGTTCAAAATATATTAAAAATAAAAACACGACAGTGCTGATTTTTGAAAATTTTCGAGCTGATTCAAACTGACACAAATATTATTAAAATTTATCGTAATAAAAATAATATTATATATAATATTATATTATAAATAGAATCTTTCCATTCTTTCTTAAAATTACTATGAGAAGAATCCTGATCACATAATGATGAAAACAAATACATATCTTTTTACTTACGTATTTCCGCAACGGCGTATGTAGCTACAAGTGCAAAAGCAAAGATTGTAGCAAACATTGTCCAAGCCAAAAAACAATTTCGTGCAAAAACTACTTTCTAAAACTATACTGTCAAAGAACAGACGATCTTAACAGCCAAATATCAAAGAGTAGACATATTAATGATTAAACAGTTGACGATGTCTCAAAACTGACTCATGTGAGCTGATCAAGCTTATATATATACATCTTTCATTCACACAGGATTTGCATAAATAATCGGCCCTTCCTTTCTTATATGTATAATCATGATGTTTTTTTATTCACGGCCATACTTACACTCGCTATATAGGTATTACGCAATTGTATGAATAATGAATAACAAATGACGCAATATAGGAAAAAAATTTTCAGTTAATAATTGCGTTGCGAATTCGACATTAATTCGGCGTGTATAATTCGGCAGTTTAAATGGCCAAATAATGATTTCAAAAAATTCATATAGAAACACTATTAGGTACTAAGTTCTCGACTGTATGTATGTATGATCCTTTTATCTCCTTATGTAAAGCATAGGATGTCTACAAGCCTTTTCCATCTTATTCTATTAGAGGTAATTGCTTCTATTTCTACCCAGCTTTTTCCTATTGTTTCTACTTCTTTGTTGACCATTCTTCTCCATTAAAATCAAAGCATATGAGAGGTGAAGGATCGAACTCAAGATCGCCGAATCAATTATGAATCAACGTGCTCGCACATCGAGTCATTTGTTACCCCGCGGTCTGTATTCGTTTCTCAAATCAATTGCTTTTCGGACTTGCGGGTGATTAGCCCACAGAATCTTATTCAACCGTCAGAGTTATACTGACTGTAGCCTCGACTGTAGAAGACGCTTTTAAATTTATTTGTGTATATGTTTAAAACTTTTAGTTTTAATAAATAAAATTAAATAGAAGAAATAGATTCCAAAGAATAAATCAAATATAGTGAAATAATTGCCTGTGAGAGCCGACACGGGTGTTAGTGTGTGAAATTCTTATCCACAATATTCAAACACACACGATCTGCGCGTCGCGGTTTGTCGATTTGAATATTGTAACAATAAGAATTTCACACACTAACACCCGTGTAGGCTTTCATAAGCAATTATTTCACTATATTT